AGCAAGTTTGAGGCCATCATGGGCTATAGAAACATTGTCTCAAGACCAAATAGGGCATTGGTGGCTCATGCTTTTAATCCCAGCTCTTGGGTTGGTATGATGGCACATTCCTTTAATCCTAGCACTAAGAAGCTGGGGTAGATTGTAAACCAGCCTGGTCTACACTGCAAATTCCTAGCTAGAACTACACAGTGAGATCCTGAATTTAAAAAAACAAACAAACAAACAAAAAAAAAACAACTTAAATCAAAACCAAAACCAGCTGGTAATGTTGGTACATGCTAGCAGGTTATCCCAAAGAGACTGAGGTGGGAAGATCATGAGTTCAAGACCTGTCTGGGCTACACCTCTGCCAGGACTGATGGAGGAAGAGCTCTGTGAGTGCAAGGTTACACTGGTCTACATAGTGAATTTCTGGTCAGGCAAACCAACAAACCAAAGCAATCTAGAATCTGCATTCAATAGATAGTAACAGGTAACAGAGTGATCCTGTTTGGTTTGTACCAGATATTGCTATCAGAGCTTTATATTCATAGCTCAATTCTTAGCCATTCCACATTCAACTCTTTTTTTTTTTTTCCAAAGCAGTTTCTCTATGTAGCTGTTGGAGAAGGTCCTGGAACTCACTCTGTAGACCAGGCTCAAACTCAGAGACCAATGTGTCACCACCGCCCAGCTTTCTTTTTTAGTTTATTTCTTCTTAAAGATTTGAAAATAATTAATTATGTGTATGTATCTCTGTGAGAGTATGTACATGTGAATCTTCCCTGGAAAGAGGGTCTGGGATCCCTGGTTGCTTTAGTTTCGATTTGGGAACTTGACCTGGTCCCTCTGCAAGAGCAGTACATACTCTTAATCTTCAAGCCATCTCTCTAGCCCCTTTGGGTTTTTTGTTTGTTTTCTTTTTCTTTTTTGAGACAGGATCTCACATTAGACCTACTTGGAACTCACTTTGATGGTCCAGCCAGCCTGGAATTACTTGCAATCTTCTCTCCTTGGCTTCTTGAATGCTCAGATTACAGGTGTGCTCTACCACACCCACCTGATTCCCCACCCCATAGGTTTTAGTTTAGTCCATGTTTCTGCTTTGGAGGCATGCATGAGACGGAAACATCCATTTATTCTCCTTATCTTTATCCAGATACTTTCCAAGTAAAGTCACAGCACTTTCCCTGCTGGTACAGAACACATAAAAAAAAGAAAAAGAAAGATCTATGTATCATCTCTGTTTGACAGCAGAATCTAAGGCTTGTGCCATGCAGTTGGGCATTGAAGTGGAAATGAAGAGTTGGCAAGTACAGCTGTTCAACTGTGACCCATTTTAAGAACTGAATCATGCTGAGTCATAGCATTTTAGCCCAACCTTTCTCAAACACTCAATACTTTCTTATTAAGAACCTACAAGTTCTTCAAGAGCAAAGTCTAGATGATACCTAATTACCTTTGTAACCCCATGTAACACTGGGCATAATGTATGTCTGAACAGGGAAGAAGGAGGAGGTAAAACATATTCCCAAGGCCAGAGACTGTGACAGGTGTCCCTTCCAGAACTGACAGCCTAACTTAGCATTTTTTATTACATTTTATTTATATATTTTTGTATGTGTACTTGTACATGTTTTCAAGTACTCTGTCACACATGTGTGGAGATCAGAGGACAGGTTGGGGAGCTATTCTTTCCTTATAGCATGTGGGCTCCAGAGATCAAGCTTAGGCTGTCAAGTCAGATAGCAAATACTGATACTTGCTGAACTGTCTTGGTGACCCAAGGTTTAGCTTTTGGTAAGCTTATTTTCCCTTCCTTATTTTTAAACATTTCTAGTTAAAAAGGTGGTACTATTCAAGAAATACAAGTTAACTTCCATTACAGATCTCTTTGCCAACTGCCATAATGCCTCATGGCCAGTCTGGTTTTATGAATAGTCATAATTACAGAAAGTTGGATGCCAAGTAAAGAGTCATCAGCTGCCACATCACCACACCCAGCTTAAAAAAATTTTTAAATATAAGAAACATTCTATCCCTGGGCCTAAAAATAAGATCAAACATTTTATGTGTGATTGTATTTAGAATGGCAAGTAATAAAGAAACCGTAAAATTTTAATTTAGCCTGGTATGGTGTTGCTTACCTTTAATACCAATAAAAAGAGGCAAAGACAAGCAGATCTCTGAGTTTGAGGTCAGCCAAGACTACATAGTGAGACCCTGTCTTAAAAGCAAAACCCAATTATGGTTCTTATATACTGGAGCAGTAGATGCACCCATTCTGGATTTGTTATATAGCCTCAGCTTATACATATTCATTGCTTGAATTTAAGATGATGCTTGACTGCAATTGCTTTATCTCAAGACATTGTCAAGGCTGGATGTGGTTGTGTTTGCCTGTAACCCCAGCACTTGGACAAAGGAGGTAGGACGATCAAGAGGTCAAGGTCATCCTCCTCTACCTAGGGAATTTGAAGACATCCTGTTTTTGGTGACTCTGTCTTAAACAAACAAACAAACAAACACAAAGATAGGAAAGAAAAAGTTACTGTGAGGATAAATCAGACCAAGGGAGGAAATTTATGTATCTATAAAGTCATTTTACATTTTACTGTTAAGTCTGACATTGTAATCAATTGTTAAGGATTTATTCAACATGACTGGAAATGTGATTATTTTAATGCTATGAAAAAATTTTTATGGTTCATCATTTTTGTTTAAAAGTTAAAAAACAGCACTGTTCTTAAGATCATGCATTCATGTGTTAGTAATTGTTGCTTTTTCATTAACACTGTATTAAACACTGCTAAATGTTTTGCAATGATGAGTAGTGTTGATTTAACCTAGGTTTCATGTCTCTCAGTCATTCATAGCCTTGGAACTGAAAGGATCCACTGAGATTATATCCTAGGCACAAGAATAGCTCAACCCAGGCGTTGGTGCATGCCTTTAATCCCAACACTTGGGAGGCAGAGGAAGGCAAATCTCTAAATTCAAGGCCAGTCTGGTCTACAGAGCCATGTTCCAGCACAGTCAGGGATACACAGAGAAACCCTGTCTAAAAAAAAATAAAAAATAAAAACAAATCCAGCAGCTCAAGTCTACCTAGCCATCAAAAGAATGAAGAGTACTAGCAAGGAGTGTTCATCCTTGTTTTATCTTTAAACTTTTTCCCTAGGTTTATTTATTTATTTATTAAGGATATTTTGGTTGCATATATGTCTGTGTAGCACATGGGTACAGTGTCTATGGAGGAAAAAAGAAAGTTTTGGATCCTTTGGAACTGGAGATATAGATGGTTATAAACAGCCTTGTGGGTGCTGGTAGTTGAGTGTGGGTTCTTTACTGCTGAGGCATTTCTCCAGACCCTTTGTTTGTTTTGGTATTGGGTATTGGAAACCATTACCTCACACATGCAAACCACTCTACAGTTGAGCCATCCCCAGCCTGGCATTCAGCTTCTGTAGATTTCTGCATTCAGCTTGAAAAAAGAAGAAAAGATTCATGAAGCTGGGCATAGTGGTGTAATTTTATAGTACCAGAACTCTAGAAGTAGATGCAGGTGGATGTCTGTGAGACCCTGACTCTAACAAAGACAAAAGATTGTATTTATGTGCACCTTCTAAGATAGAGGGCATTAGATCCTCTGGGACTGGAGTTACAGATAGTTCATTGTTAGCAATATGAACTGAATTCTAGTCCTAGCAAGAGCAGCATGAGGTGTTTTTGTTGTTGTTGGTAGTGGTGGGTTTTTATTTTTATTGTTTTGTTTTTGAGACAAGGTCTCACTATAGTTGAAGATTTCGTTTAGTGGGCTGGAGATGGAAACCAGACCCTTGTGCAAGAGAGTCAAATGCTCTATTACTAAACCACAATTCCACCCCAAGGGTCTTACTATGTAGCCACAGCTGGCCTGGAACTTGATATGTAGATCAGGGTGAATTTGGACTGACAGAGATCCTTCTGCCTCTACTTCCCAAGTGCAAGGGATTAAAGTATATGCTACCATGCCTGGCTGCAAGTATTTTGCTATTAACTCATTCCTGCAGGCCCATCTTTAAGTTTAAAGAGGAAGTCATTAGTGGGAACAAAGTCCTCTGTTGGGACACAGCAGTCACAATATTTAGACATTTTAGTACCTTCTGGAACTCAGAGGAGACTTGAGAATCTTCCACATTTTTTTCATGTTTGTAATAAAAATACATTCCTAATTTGGACGCAGTTCTAGAATGTTTTAGTTTACATTAAAACAGTCTTTTGGGATGGGGTGGTAATACCACTGGAGATCAAACCCTGAACTTAAAATGAAAACTTACATGAAAGCCTTCTGGTTTAAAGGCCTATCTATGACTACAAACAGAATCTTCTATTGAAGACACCACCAACACCAAACTGAAGTTTAATCCTGAACAGAACAGCCCATGTCAACCACTTTCATAGCTTCCTCTTTCACCCATAAATCCTAGGGATGTCACAAGGAGTGTTGTGACTCAGATCTCAGTAATAGTACCCTGTCACATATTCACCCTCATTAGGCACTTTCATTTGGTAGGATTGCAATCCAGAAGGCACAAAAACCAAACGCATCTCATGGGCCGTAATGGTGGCCACAGTCACTCCTATGACCTTCCCCCAAACTTAAGTTTGTGTATTCTGGAAACCTGGCCTTCTTTTGAGCGCCTCCAGCTGAGGGGGCGCCGGGCAGGGGAGGTTGGCTTCCGCAAGCCGCGACCACTGCCCGGGACAGTCCCCTAGAATACAGCTAGCCAGAGCGGCCACTTGGAGTTAGAAGAAGGCCAGCAAAAGTTGGAGGGACAAACTGCCTGAAGAAAAGCAGCGAAATAAGACTTTCAAATACGGAGATCAGCTACAGGCGGGAAGGCCACGCGCCGAGCACAGCGGAAGAAGCGGAGCGTGGAGGCGGAGCATGCTCCGCCCCATGCCGCCCTCGCGCTAGGCCGCGCTCCCCGCGGGCGATTCTGATTGGCCGGTCCAGTTCCCTGCGCTGATTGGACGCGTGGGCGAGGCGGAGGAGAGCCGTGCGCAGCGGCGTGTGAGGAGCCGTGTGCAGATCCGCGTGTGGCGCAGGCAAGGACCCTGGAAATAAACAGCCACTGCTTTGCGAGTCGCTTACCTGGGCCTGCGTCCGAGTATCCACCGCTGTGGGCAGCTCAGACGCCGAAGGTGAGGGCTGAGGGTGGAGGCCGCGCTGTGGAGGCCGCGGGTTGGCGCGGCCGAGACCGACTGAGGGCCGGAGCTGCGAGGCGCGATGGCGGCCGCACCTTGGCCTGCTCCCTGCTGCGTCAGGCGCGGGGTTCGGCCTGGCTGACTCTGGGCCCAGGTTTCCGGCCTGCCGAAGTCGGGCGGCCGTCCTGGCCGTTCTGCGGCACGGGAACTAAGGGCCAGTGCGTGTGGGGGGGGTCTCGCTCGGCGCCCTTGGTCGCGCAGGCCTCAGGCGTGTGGCGACGAGGCCTGGCGCCCTTGGGGCCGAGGCGAAGGGGGTCGCGCGCGGGCCTAGCGCCCAGGGCCAGTGTGGCGGGAACTCCTTGAACGGGGCCGTGTGCGGGGAAGGGCGCGCGGGCGCGGAGGAGATCCGCAGGCCTGACCGCGGGGTGGAGGCCTGGCGGGCCATGTGCCAGCTTCTGCGGGGCCTCAGGAACCGGCCCGTGACGAAGCCCGCGCACGCCGCTGTAGGGCGCATGAGTCTGGATTCAGCTCTCCATACTGCCAACCTTTATTCCTTTTGATTTCTTATAGTTTTCCTACACGGCTTATTCGACATTGCCGCTCAAAGAGCACTTTTCCCCGAATCGATAAGATAAAGTCGTAGGTCCTTAAACCCTATTATGGGGCGGGCGGGTGGGCGAGGGTGGGAAAGACTCCCAGTTTGTCGGGCCTTTAAGGCAATCTCGGCGGGGTAAGTCTGCCATTATTTCCCAGATTAAACGGATATAAATTACAAGCAAGCCTCGGCAGTAGAATTGGCAAAGATGAATCTGGATTTTCATTATCGTGAAAACCTGTTTTTAGAACGGTCTAATCGCCTCCACTTGGCTTGGTGTTGCCACATGTCAAGCACATGGCCTCGGCTACCAGGCACTTTCAGAGGAAGTGACTACATCTGGTCTTGAGGTGGGGGTGGGGGTCTTGGGGAACGGAAACGTAGACCAGCAATCGTCTGATTTCAAGTTTTAGCAATATTCTTGAGAACAGAAAACAGGCAAGTTAAACCACGACATTGAGTTTGTCTGCCTTTTAGTGAAAGGGAATTACGTTATAGCCCCATTTTCTGTTTGGTCGAGTTTTGGAGAGGTTTTGCACCAATGATTTAATTTTTTGATTAAAAAAATTCAAGTTAACCATTTGTTCTTGGTATACATTGTAAGATTTTTTGAGTTTTAAAAAGACATAAGCTGTAGTTTTATGCCTAATTCTTTGATTCAGAAAAAAAAAACCAAAATAATTAGAGGGTTTAAGCTTACCAGGTGATAACCCCCATGGTTCTAGGTACTTTTTTTTTTTTTAACTCTTTAAAAGCTTCTTGTCTACAAGGAACTCTGTATGCTGGACTATAAAAGAAATAATTTATTGGAATCCCAAGGGCTGAATTAAGGGCTTAATTTCAGCCCCAAATTACAGCTCCTGGCAACAGGTTTTAAAAACCTAACAGTAGTGTATCTGTGTACTTCCTCCTACTTCATATTAAGACATTTTTGTATTGTAATTACTCCTCTTCATATTGATAGCAAGGAATAATTTATTTCAAAGAGATGTGCAATCTGTAAAATGTTTTAAATCAAAGTAGAAGGAGACCAAGGGATTATATTCCAGCAATTAAACAGCTTTGGTGGACAAAAAAGTATTCGTTTTTGTGATGTATGGTGATTTGGGGGGGCATTTTAGAACCCAATAAAATTATCTAGTAAGTAAATCGCTGGAATGATTTCTCCATTGGGTAAATACTTACTGAGAAAGTTTGCCTTCCTCTTCCTAACCTCCAGGCTGACAGTAAGTTGAGAGCCATAAGACTAATACCAAGGCATCATGGCCAGCTATGTGGAGAATTCTCTTTTCCATACTGCCTCACTTAATAGGGCTCATATTCTGGCAGTGTCTAATTTCAGGTTGTTAAATAGTTGGGATAGATAATGAAGTGAACTTGGGCCTCAAATTCAGATTGCACATAGTGCTTTGTACATTAGGAAAACAAGCCAGGTGTGGTGATACAGGCCTACATGGTCTATATCATCCCAGCACTTGGGAGGATTGTAAATAAATTTGAGGCAGTAAAACTTTGTCTTAAAAAGGCAGAGAAATCCAAGAGTGGTGGCACACTTCTTTAATGCCTGAACTTAGGATGGTGAGACCCATCTGTCAATTTGAGGACAGCCTAATAAATTCCAGGCCAACAAAAGCTTGATGAGAGACCCTATTTCTAAAAGGGGTAGGGGGTGGAAATAAGAGACTGTTACAGTAATCATCTGGAGTTGACTCCATTGTTAAAACTGAGGATATTTAGCTAGTGAAATTAAGTTGCTAGTGTTTGTGTGCGTTGACACTGAGGTTTGAGGGGGAAAATATTCTGGTTTAAGATTGAGAAATCTCCGAAAGATTACTGTGAATAAATTTAAAATGACTTCAGAGTGTTAACTGTTATAGTTTTTACTTGGTTTATCTAAAAGAATGAATATTTTGTACATTGGAATTCAAGTAATATAGAAGAAGCATGTATGTATATGCTTATCACTTTATCACTTAGCCTTAATTCTATAGAGATTTAGAGACAAAATGTTAACATCTTGTTTGTACTTGTATCTACCTGTATGGCTTTAGTAGATAAGTCACTTGTTCTTTGTGATGTGTTCCCTTTTTTACTTGTTTGTCTTTGTTTTTCGAGACAGGGTTTCTGTGTAGCTTTGTAGACCAGGATGGCCTTGAACTCAGAGCCCCCAGCCTCTGCCTCATCAGTGTTGGGACTAAACATGTGTGCCACCACAGCCCTGCTCAATAACATTTTCTATACCAAAACCAGTAAGGGATTTATATAGTCAAGACTAATAGAAATTCTAATGAAGTAGTCATCTCTAGGATGAAGATGTAGCTCAGTGTAGAGTGCCACTAAGGAAGGGCTCAACCTCAACACAAGATTTAAAAAAAAAATCCTAACTACCTCCTAGAAAGTGCATTTATATTATATAATGGGAATACTGAAAAGAAACATGGCCCTTGGCAAGTATGGTATGTACAGAGCTATCTTTACTATTTCATCTGGCTTTCCTAACAAATGATTTACATTCCTTCCTATGCTCTCTGTCAATTTTTTCCCCCAAGCACAGAATTATTCCTACCTTATCAAGGTAGGAACTGAGACTATAGTACAGTTCTTGACCCTCTGAACAAGCTCACTTTGTATTATGCTCAGTAAATTAGCTTGGTACCACAATGCCACACACTGTTGTAATAAACTAGATATAATAAAAGGTGAAATACAATCTATTTCACTTTGTCTCCAAAAAAAAAAAAAACAAAATTGCTATGAATTAACAAATTGCTAATTCTGTTATTTAATCTGGTAAGTCTGGATATGTTCAGAACTTGTAAAATAATCAAGCCTCTTACTTAGTTTAGCATACCTGGCCTCCAAGTGAATCTTTTCCAAATGTACCTGTTGATCACTGTCATTTTTGAGTGGTGTTGACCTACCATATCTTTAACTGGTGTGTGTCATGACAATGTAATATTTACAATTAAGGCATAGAGTGGCACAAAAATGTACTCAGCAGGTCAAGTACTTATGGGGAAAAAAATCTGGTACCTGAGTTTGATCCTTGGAATCCACGTGAAGGTTGAAGAAGAGAGCTGACAAGGCGAAGAGGTCTCCTACAGGATCTGCCCTGTCCAATATGTGTACATGTCTGCACGTTCGCCTATGTGAGTTGCCTAGAGGACAAAAGAGATCCTGTGCTAGAGCAGTAAATGGTCTTAACCACTGAGTCATCTCCCAGCCCATGTGTAATGCTTCTCCCTCCCCACCCCCTTCCATACATAGGCAGGGTTTCATGTAGGCAAGGTTGACCTTGAACAGATCCTCAATCCTCCTGCCTCTGCCTCCCAAATGCTGGGATTTCAACCCATGTGGCTTTATCTAGTTTTGAAAAAGATACTTGATCTAGTAGTAGGAGTTCAGACTGTATTTCTGGTAAACTTCATCCCTTTCAATTAGGAAATTGACTTTAAAGTGGGAAGCTAATCTGTATTACTCCCATGTACTAAAGTATCTGTAAATAACTGGGTGACTTGGGATAACTTGTGCAGGGGTCATGAAGCTTTAACAGATGTTTGACATTGAGCAGCTATGAAGTAAAGGGAACTTGTAATGCTTCTGACAACAGATCAGCTTTATCACCTCCCTTTTGCAAACGAAACAGAACAGTGGAGGGGTGTGAAGAGGCCTAGAGTATCCCATATTATATTGCCTTCAAATTCAAATCCAGATTCTCCCTTCAGTGCCATTGCACTCAGCTAGCCATGTGTCTGAGGTAACATAACTGCTTAACATAGTTGACTAGTTAAGCCGGGATTAACCATGTTACTAGAATCTTTAGAAACATCTAGCGTAGTTGATAACTAATAACTAGGTTTTTAGTAAAGCAAAAGAACAAATGGATCTTATGTTGCCTAAAAGCAGTATATGGGGTTTTGGGGGGGAGGTTGAGATCTAATCTCACCATGTAGACATTCATGATCATTTATTTCATGCTGACATTTTGTGTAGCACTTTATGATAGTAATCCTACAGAGCTCTGAATTATTAAAAGCTTGCATAACAAGTGACAGTAGAGAGCGGTCTGCTGGCTCATTTTAGTTATCCTGGTGGAAATTTTTCAATAATTCCAGGATTGTTAGATAATAACTTTCCACCTAGAACTTTCTTAGTTTACTCTGCCTTTATTTTGTGTAACTATTGGTCTGCATGTATGTGTGCCATGTGCATACCTGGTGCTAGTGGATGCCAGAGGAGGGTGTCTTACTTAGTATCCTGGAACTGGGGCCGTGTCAATGCAGGAAACTGAATTCCAGCCCTTCCATGAGCAGCACATGCTTGTAACTACTGAGCCATCTTTCCAACCTGGAGTTAAGTTTTGTTCTTTGGGCTTTTGTTTGTTTTTTTAAATCAGAAATGTCCTTTAATCCCAGCACTTGGGAGGCAGAGGCAGGTGGATCTCTGAGTTCAAGGCCAGCCTAGTCTACAGCGCTAGTTCCAGGACAGGCCCCAAAGCTACAGAGAGAGAAACCCTGTCTCTAAAAATTCTTACAGAGTAAGCCTTGATCCCTAGGAAGCAAAAGCTTTGCCTACTAAAAAAATCTTGCATAGAATCATAGTTGTTGTTTGAGAAAACTAGTTTGAGTGACTGTACCCTAATAAGTGCATAATTGAAAACATTACCGTAGTAGTAAATTACTGTTGTAGTAGCTTGTGACAGCAAACACATTATTACTTTTTGTATTTTATTGGATTGGGTCTATATAAGATGCACACAGTTGCACAAAGCAGAAAGAGGACTTAAGATTTCCCTGCTGTCCCCAAAAGCCATGCTTGCATAACTGCTATTAAAAAGGATCACTGTATGGCATGCCATACTGGAATATGCTAAAAAAGCATTGTGTTAGTTTGATTTAGCAGCTATTAACAAAGTACTCTGGATTTTAATGCAAATTCCAAGCTGGGGGGTGTGTGCAGATTTTCTTGTAGACTTGGCATTGAAGTGGCTCTTAAAAGTTAGAAATGGGTGAGGCAAGTGAGAGGGGACTGCAGAGAAATATAATTAGGACAGACACATTTTTCAGCTGTATTTTAAGCTTTTATGAGGAATGGTCAAGTCTCTGAATGCATTTATACATAAAATAGTGTGCTTTGTGAGTGGCCTGGCCAAAGAGAGAGGGCAAGCAACTTGCATTCACACTATCTAAGGCCATTAGACTGCTGAGCTCACTGGTTGTGGGGTGACTTTTGGTCTCAGGTTTTGGGGAAATGATCTGAATATATATGCCCCTGGTTGGCCTAGAACTCAGGATTCTCAGCCACTGCTTTTTTTGAGACAGGGCTTCTCTGGCTTTGGAGGCTGGCCTGGAACTCACATAGGTCTGCCTGCCTCCTGAGTGCTGGGGTTAAAGGTGTGTGCCACCAACGCCCAGCTCTCAGTCACTGTTCTTAGGTTGAATTTTTAAGTTAGTATTTCTGGGCAATGGTTTTTTTTTTTTTTTGAAAATATGAGCTTCCTTGGTCACTAGGTTCACGTGGCTATATAACATTCATGCTGGCAAACCACTTAGGTAAAAATAATCTGAACCTGGAATATTGAGGTACTGCAGGGATTATAACTCAAACATGTTAATCCATATATTCCTTATTTAGAAATTGTAAGATACAATTTTTGGGTTTTTCATGCATATGGTAGTACATGAGTCAAAAATAGAGATGCTATTCTAATGACTATAAAGTAAATTCAAGTGTTTTGATTTTGGTTTTTTTTTTATTTTTTATTTTTTTATATTTGAAAGCTTTTAATTGCAGCTATGAGCAGCAACGAATGCTTCAAGTGTGGACGATCTGGCCACTGGGCCAGAGAATGCCCTACTGGCGGAGGTCGGGGTCGTGGAATGAGAAGCCGTGGCAGAGGTGGTTTTACCTCGGATAGAGGTATTTTTGTCGAATAAAAAATTTTGAGGTGCTCCAGAATTCAGTAATACCAAGACTGGCCTGATCATCCCAATTCTTTTTTTTTTTTTTTCCCTGCTCAAAATAGGGTTCCAGTTTGTTTCCTCCTCTCTTCCTGACATCTGTTACCGCTGTGGTGAGTCTGGTCATCTTGCTAAGGATTGTGATCTTCAGGAGGATGGTAAGTATTTAACACTTCATACTTTGGGACACACAGCTTTGTCATGTTTAGAGGGTTTGTAGCATGTTGTTTGAAGCACCATATCATTATTTTGTAAAGGTTTTATAGTCTTGGTCTGCTTCTTTTCCTTATTGTTGAAGCCTGCTATAATTGCGGTAGAGGTGGCCACATTGCCAAGGACTGCAAGGAGCCCAAGAGAGAGCGAGAGCAATGCTGCTACAACTGTGGCAAGCCAGGCCATCTGGCTCGCGACTGTGACCACGCGGATGAGCAGAAGTGCTATTCTTGTGGTGAATTTGGACATATTCAAAAAGACTGCACCAAGGTGAAGTGCTATAGGTGAGTCATTGTAGCTTTTTGTGAAGGTATTGTTGGTTAAAGGGAGAGCCTTATCAGTGCATTTAAAATATGAAGACAGCTTGTGAACTTGGTTCTCCTTCCATGGGGTGGATTCTGGGGAATGAAAGTCATTTGCCATAGTGGCAGATGACTTTAGATCATCAAGTGCAGTATAGGCCAGTGAGGGCTTGGTGGATATAAAAGTATTTGTGCATACCATACCTGTTTTATCTCATGGTGGAGAGAAGAAACAAACTTCTGTGATTTGTACTCTGACTTTCATATATGATCTATTGTTTGACTGGAGTAGTTACGTGCTATTGGGCGTATATAAATTAAACTGTAGTGATTAATTTACGAATAGCAGAACATTTTTGCTAACATTTTCACCTTGGTGATAGGCTAATCTCTTTGTTTTTTTTTTTTTTTTTTTTTAAGACAGGGTTTCTCTGTATTGCTTTATTTTCAAGCCTGTCCTGGCACTCACTCTGTAGACCAGGCTGGCCTTGAACTCACAGAGATCCACCTGCCTTTGCTTCCTGAGTGCTGGGAGTAAAGGTGTGCGCCACCAATGCCTGGCGATAGTTAATCTCTTAAGGTTTTTGAGAACCTAGTTTTCCTCTTTGTTCTTAGTTACAAAATACAAACATCTGGGGTTTTAGCTGTGTATAATAATGTAACACCTGAAGATCCAGCTCAAGGCTAGGTTGTGTTTGAGGCCAACTTTGACTTAACATAGGAGCCTGTCTCCAATGTAAAGCTATATGTATATATATAACATATATGTGTGTATATATATATTTAGCCCACTGGAAGGGATTTTAAAAAAAAAGGAAAAGACTTGGGCAGTAATGGCTCCCAAAATGCTTATAATCTTAAAAATGTACTTGTTTGTGTTCTATGTAGACTGAGAATGCAGTGTGAAAATTTAATTTATTACTTATTTTTTAGGTGTGGTGAAACTGGTCATGTAGCCATCAATTGCAGCAAGACGAGTGAAGTCAACTGTTACCGCTGTGGCGAGTCAGGGCATCTTGCACGGGAATGCACAATTGAGGCCACAGCCTAATTATTTTCCTTTGTCGCCCCTCCTTTCTGATTGATGGTTGTATTATTTTCTCTGAATCCTCTTCACTGGCCAAAGGTTGGCAGATAGAGGCTGTTCCCAGGCCAGTGAGCTTTACTTGCAGTGTAAAAGGAGGAAAGGGGTGGAAAAAAACCGAATTTCTGCATTTAACTACAAAAAAAAAGTTTATGTTTAGTTTGGTAGAGGTGTTATGTATAATGCTTTGTTAAAGAACCCCCTTTCCATGCCACTGGTGAATAGGGATTAATGAATGGGAAGAGTTCAGTCAGACCAATAAGCCCTTCTGGGTTTAAGTGTGTTCCCATGTAGGAGGTAAAACCAATTCTGGAAGCATTGAGCTTCCATAAATAACATTAATTTTTTAGCATAATGACGGCCTTGGATTGGCTGACCTCAGTAGCTACTAAATAACATCAAGTAACATCTGTATCAGGCCCTCATAGAACATACAGTTGAGTGGGAGAGTAAACTGAAAAGACAAATGTGTTGATGGCTATACCAGGGAAATCGGGATAAAAGCCTAACACAGGAGCAGCTTCATCCCATGCAGATGGTGATGGTAAAGGTGTAGAACACATTTTTTTTTTCAAAGACTAAATCTATAAATCTAAAACCCAGAGTAAACATCGCTCAGAGTTAGCATAATTTGGAGCTATTTAGGAATTGCAGAGAAATGCATTTTCACAGAAATCAAGATGTTATTTTTGTATACTATATCACTTAGACAACTGTGTTTCATTTGCTGTAATCAGTTTTTAAAAAGTCAGATGGAAAAAAGCAACTGAAGTCCTAGAAAATAGAAAATGTAATTTTAAACTATTCCAATAAAGCTGGAGGAGGAAGGGGAGTTTGACTAAAGTTCCTTTTGTTTGTTTTAAATTTTCATCATTGTATATAGAACAAAATGCCATATTAAAGAGGGGAATGTGGAGGACTGAAAGATGACAGTTTGGACTTTTCTTTCTGTGCTAATGTCTTTAAGTAAGGAAAAGCTGGTGACAGAAGAACACAATAATTTGGGTGCTTTATTCATTTGTAGAGTTATAGAAAGTTCTCTGTGAGCCTGCAATATGACCTAGTGGGTAAAGGCAGTTGCCACACACAAGCTTGGTGACCCGAATTTCATTTCAGAACCCACATAAAGATGGAAAGAAGACTGATTCTGCACACATGCTTCTTTGACTTCTTTAAATGCACTAAATTCTCTTGGCCTGACCTGTTGTTACAATGCTCTTAGTTCTGTGTTCACTCAAAATAGGTCTGAACTTTACTGCTTTTTAGTGCCCCCCCCAAAGATCTGAAATGTTAGATTCCTTTTCCCTCCACCCCCCCATCATTTGATTCAATGCCCTTACTATATAGATAATAAAAGCAAGCCAACAGGATGTAGTTCGGGGTTAACCTTGAGCACCCTTCTTACCCTTGCTTTCTGTAGTACAAGTGGTGGTTTTCCTATTTAGTAGTAGTTAATGATCCCATTTGATGTTCTGGTCAGTTTGTCTTTCAGTGTTGGGGCATGCAAATATATGCCTGACATTTATTTAGATTTACATTGAATTTTTTTTTTTTGTTTTGTTTTTTTTTTTCCTTCCTGACCAAATGGTATGGTCTAGGTAGTCAAGCATATTAGATAGCCTAGTAAATTCATTTCTAAAAGTAGATAGCATAAGGAATGACCTGGTTTTTTTGTTTGTTTTCAAGACAGTTTATCTGTGTAACAGTCCTGGCTATCAGGACCTCAATTTGTAAACTAGACTGGCCCCTAAGAAACTGAAATCCATCTGCCTCTCAAACTCTGGGATTAAAGGTATATGCCACCACCTGGCAAAATGACCCGTTTTTAAGTATCACTGTTAAATACAGTTGAAGCCTTCCTCCCTCCCCAAAACAAAAAGCTTAGTGGGTCATTGTGCCTAATAACCTCAACCTAGAATCCACGTAAAGGTAGAAAGAAATAGAACTGGCTTTCACAATGTCTTGGTAACCTTGGTAACATGTACAATAAAACCTTGAGTGTTGGTGTCAGCTGGCCTATGGCTTCTCTTAAGCCTCTGATCTGAAGTTTTCAGTACATAAAGTGGCACAAGACAGTGGTTAACAGTTAACCAGTTCTATAGACCACAAGTATTCTTTGTAAAATTCCGATTACTTTGTTATTGATGGTTTGAGCATGTATTTTTCAGGTAGTTCAAATAATTTGTAGGAGCTAGTTGGTCATATAGGAATAAGGTTTAGTTGGGGGAATTAGACAGGATTTAAAAATTAACGGTGAATAACATTGTCTTCATGAATAATGGATTTATTTGGAAGTCAGATTAAAATTGTTATTTAGCATGGTTTGTATGTACATACATGCCAAGGTGTATGTGTATATATACACATGCTGTGGGGTGTATGTAGATGTATACACATGCTAAGGTGTGTATGGACAAATTTGTGGAGTTTTTACATGGGTTCTGAGGTTGATTTTATGTCATCAGGCTTAGGTGGCAAGTATCTTCACACACTGAGCTATTTTGCCAGCCTTGAACAGCTTTTACTTGTAAGAAACCTATAGTTATTTAAGAAAATGTGGTCTTTAGTCTAGGGCATCCTCAAACTTGGCAGTACTACCTCCCAAGTGCTGGGATTAAAGGTGGGAACTACCACACTAAAAGTTACTTTTTGCTTCCTTTTGGGGGCAGTCTTGATACATAGCTCTTTCTCACCTAAATTACAAAGTTAGTGCTCTGAAATCAGGTGTGGTATATACCTTTTAGTCTGAGCACTTGGAGACAGGCAGATTTGAGAGGCCAGCATAGTCTATAAAGCCAAGTGATTTTTTTTTTTTTTTTTTTTTTTTACATTTAATGTGCCTCATGAAAGTTTCATTGTTAGTTCCACAATTGATTGGATTTTGGAATGTTGGTTTTAGTTTTGTAGTCTTTAAAAATGAGGATTATAAGGATGTTAGATTGCATGGTGTGTGTGTGGCCGGGGGTGGGAGGGTGGGGGTGTTAAGACAGATTCTCTAATGATTGCCCTGGAACAACTTTGTAGACCCTGGGCTCAAAAGATCTACCTGCCTCTGCTTCCCATGTGCTGTGATTAAAAGCATGTGCCAAGAATTTGCATCTTATATTATTTCCCAGTTAAGGCCTAAATATCCTTAAGATCTACTATATGGGGGAGGTAGCTGAAGAGGTGTCTCCATAGTTAAGAGCACTGACCTAGAAGACCTAGAAGTTTGGTTCCCATCACTCATATGACATATCTCAACCAGGAACTCTGATGTCCTTGATCTCTCCAAAGGCACTGCACACATGTTTTAAGGACAAAACACCCTTAAAAACTGCTGGGTCTGTTCCCTGTTCCTTTAATTCCAGAACTCAGGAGGCAAAGCAGGTGAGATGAGTTTGAGGCCTGTTTGAGGCTACATACATAGTAAGAGCCTTCCTTAAAAACGTGGGTAGGGGATGAAGCATGTACTCAGGTGTTCAACAGCTTCTTGAGCATTTGGGGTTCAGGTTCCAGCACCGACATGTCTGTAGTGTCAATCACCTGTAATCCCAGCTACAGAGGATCTAGTGCCCTTTTATGGCCTGCTTGGTACCAGGCACAGTGGTGTCTGTCTGTACATAACATTCTGGCAAATGGAGTAAAAAACTTTTAAGGCATGCTACACAGCCTGATGGCTCTGTCTTCCCCAGCATTTGGTCGACAAAAGTTTAAGGTGACCTTGTGCTGCATAGCAAAAATGGAAAGGTGAGATGGCTCAGAAAGAGAAGGTATCAGAATACCTGAGTTTGATCCTAGAACTGGTAAGAGTTCCCCTAATTACAAAGTATTGTGGTATGCTTGGTCCACCTACATGCTTCACTGGTTGTACATATAGTTTTATTGATGTACAATTCAGCATTACAAGAGATTTTCGGATGGAGCATTTTGCAAGTTGAATATCAGAAATTCAAGATTAAAAAATGTAAAAGTCACCTTGAAGGTGTATAAAGGGACATATGAACCAATTCATTGTCATGGTTAGATTTGTGATACATACCCTGAGATAGTATGTTCATACATTTCAAAGTACTTAATGATTGGTTAAGAGCACTGGCTGTAGAGGGACCCAGTTCAATTCTCTGCACCCACGTGGCAACTCACAACTGTCTTTCTAGCTCCAGAGGATCTGATATCTTCACACAAAAGCATTTAAAATAGAACCTTGAGTTCTTAGCCTGTTGAGTTAAATGCATGTGTTGTGTAGGTAACATCCTTGAGAGATTAGAACAAATCTGGCTTCACCCAGGGTATAGCACCAGGGGTGTGTTAAATGATTCTACCCAAGTCTGTCTAGTTTGATGAACTATGAGCTTTTTGCAGGAGCTGAGATGCAACATCTTCAAAAAACCCACCCTAGCATGGGTTACTACTTATGAAAGCTACGTCCGTGTAGCTCTCTGTATAACTTGCAATTAGCTTGGTTTGAATGTCTACAAGATTGTGGAACAAGAGGGTTTAAGAAGTTTGTAACTTCCTGAGTTTTAAAGCCTTGTTTCTTTAGTTTTCTGAGTTTTAGGGAGTCTCCCTTTAGAAGGGAATGTCTTCAATTAGGAAACAGCTATATGACAACATTGTTTCTAGCTTTCCAGTAGTTGGCAGAGTGATTGATTGGAAGGTTGGCAGTCTAAATAAATCCTCATGTTTTTCAACTCAAGCTGCAAGTATATGGTCTTTGTAGATCATTTTGAGCACATTGCCTTTGCTGTGTCTTCTAATATCAATTAGAACAGTGAGAATAGGAGAATTCCCAACTGCTGTTATTCATACATGCTCATTCTACAAATCATAGTCCCAAGATTCCAAGTACTGTGCTTTGTGCAAAGGAATAATTAGTATTAGCCCTTTTAGTCTGGGGGGGGGGACTACTGAGTTAGATGACTACAGATGTTACTGCTTGAGTATGAATTTTAGAGCAGCTACAGTGCTAATTCTCTTTATTTTTTATTTTGTTTGTTGGGGTAGGACTTCTCACAGTCTTAGTTGTCCTGGAACTAGCTCTTATTGACCAGGCTGGTCTTACCTCAACTGGAGATCCGCCTGCCTCTGCCTCTTGAGTGCTGTGATTAAAAGTGAGCTCCCAGCGCCAAGCCAGTTTTTATTTATTTATTTTTTTTGCATGCTTTATAAAGAACAATTCCAAATCTACTTTTAGCCCAACTACAAAGCTGTTGCACATAGTCACTTAGTAAAATCATTGTAGTAAATTGTGATATTAGATAGCTAATGCTTTTATTTTTTTTAAGACTTATGTGTATTGTGCTCTATCTGCATTTATGACTGTAGGCCAGAAGATAGAATCAGGTCTAATTACAGATGGTTGTGAACCACCATGTGGTTGCTGGGAAATGAACTGAGGACCTTTGGAAGAGCAGCCAGTGCTCTCAACACCCACATGGCAACTCACAATTGTAACTTCAGTTTCAGGGATCTGACACCTTTACATTAATGCACATAAATTGTTCAAAAAAATTAGTTTTACATAACACAAATGATTTTGTTTTAATGCCAGGTTTTTTAAAAAAAAAATGTTTAATTGATAAGGTTCTGGCTGTCCTTGACTTTGCCTTCTGAGTGCTGAGATTAAATGTGTTTGCCACTATATCCAGGAAAGATTTTATTTTTTATGTGTCTGTATGAGGGATTGCCATGTGTACAGCTGCTGAGGCCAGAAGAGGATGTTGGATTCTGTGGTGCTGGACTTCGAGGTGGTTGTAAGCTGCCCACCATTTTGTACTAAGAACTGAACAGGTAGGTCCTCTGGAAGAGGAGTACATGCTCTTAACTGCTGAGCCATCTCTCCAGCCCTGTAAAGTCTCAAC